CGATATTGAAATAAATTAAATTTCGGAGGACGAAAATGCCAATTGCAGAAAAATTGAAATTGACAGATAAATATTTTCGTAAAAATTAGAGTATTACTGTCCGGCGTTTTGTTCAATATGTCTTTTATTTTATCATTATACATTAATATTTAGAATATTCAATTATTTCTTAAAAAATACTTTTCTGAAATATGACTAACTAATCACTTTATAATAAAATCTTAGACATTACAGTATGTTACTTTAAAAAAAAATGCATCATTGTATATATTTTTTTATTTACTATTATAATTACTATATATAGAGAAGACAGGCGTCAAGAGACCTATGAAACCAATTCCATTAATTTTGAAATTGATTGAAGAGGAGGTTTTAAATTTAATACTTCTTTAGATAATTATGATATACACCCCTCGGCAAAAATAATAGTTTGAATCCCCTGTTCTAAAATTTGTTGCTTTATCTTGGGATTTTTTTATATTTAACCCATAATTCATAGGAAATTATATATGTCGTATTTGGATAAGGAATTCATAAGGTCCCCTTTTAAATCATTTACTAGAGATGATTTCTAATTTATGTGTGTGATGTATTTCAGTGTATGTCTAAAATTTACAGAGCGTGTTGGGGAGACCGGGGTTAGACAAATCAATTTTTAATTAAAAAAAATCATCTATAATTTCGGTCTTTTTATATCTTGGGAACTGCTATATATTTATAAATATTAAATATTTACAAATATATTTTATTAAATTTGTGAGCATTGTCACATTTATTTATTTTTTTGTCAATTTTAATTTTCTCCAAGAATTTTGACACCCATTCCCCCTCACCTTGGATATGGTGCTTCCAAAACCATTACATTTTCTGCCATATAACGGAAAAAAATGTCATTTTTATTTCTTAAGATTGATAAATTTACAGAATAATTTTAATATCTTAGCAGTTAAATGATAATTCTATATCCAAATAATAAAAATTCGTATAATTTTGATAATTTTAGATACATACTTTAAAAGTAGCGCGCTATCGCTACCGCTAACATTTTCAAAAAAGTAGCGTGCTATTATCTACTTTTTACGTTATTTTATAATTTTTTACAAAATATTTTCTAAGCATCTCTATTTCCACAAATTAAAAATATTAAAATTTCAAATATATATAGAATTTATTTATTTTTTTATTGCATCTCAATAATAATAACATTTCCATACTGTCTTCCTCAAGTCTAGTCAGACAATTAGAAAGTATAAGCTATGATTAAATAATCGTTCAATTCTAGCGCGCAATGTAGTATTTTTAATATACATATTTTTTATATAAGAAAAATCGTCAAAAAATTTATTTGAGTATTTTTAGATTTAAAAAAATGTATCTAGAGGAGTTTCAATAGTAGTGTAATTTATGGTAGGTGGCGTTTTTGATCTGGCTGATGTCAATCTAAATTATAATAGTAATAGTTAGAATAAAAATTATGTAGGCGATAAGTGGATGGCCATGTTTGCCAACAAGCCAGGTCACCACACTTTTGGCTAAAATGTGAAAGGATTGAAATAAGTATATTTTAGCATGTTTTGATAAAATTTGAGTGGTTAATTAAGCATGCTTAACATTAAAATAATTTATAAAATATTATCAAAAATTTATTACAGATACAGCTTTGATTCAAATTTTATTTTAAAGATTTAGGATTGGGCTACACATTGATATTAAATTTGTTTGATTTATTACTTTTAAATGTTTCCTCGTTGAAGCTACTAGTCTTGCTTGATAATAAAACCTCAATTAAATTTTACTCTGTGTTAATTATTTTTATCGAGATTAAAGTATTTGCAAATTCAAGAAAAAGAAATTCAATATTCTCAACATTTTATAGGAAAATTACTGTCGATATGATCTGTACTAAAATTATCTATAATATTAGTCTCGTCATTTTAAATTATTTTGAAAACTTTAACGCAGATTTTTAAATATAAATTTCAAAATTAAATAAAATATAAGAAGATTGATTTTAGAATTATAAATGCTAATTCGCTTTCTAAATTAGTGGCGATCTACCGCTATCGCTATCGCTAATTTTTTTTCAGTAGCGGTAGCTCACTAAAGCTACCGCTACTGAAAAAAAAACAGCGTGCTACTTTAAAAACACTGGTGTCAGGCTTTAAACATAAATAAAATGTTTTTTTAATTTTTACATTTCAAGCGTGGTGTTAAAAAAAATGGCAATAGAAATATCTTTATAAAAATAAAATTTTTGAACTTTATAATTAAAAACCACTAAGATTAAAAGAAAGCTTAAAAAAACTTAAAGATGACGATTATCATATTCACTGAAAATTTAATTTAACCTGTTTACAATATATATTTTTACCTATTTCCTTCAAAAAAATCCGACAAAACTTAAAAATGACGATTATGACAATTGTCACTTTTCTAAGGTACATATTCATTGAAAATTTAATATAACATGTTAATATATATATTTTTACCTATTTGCTTCAAAGAAATTCGAAAAAACTTAAAAATGACGATTATGACAATTGTCACTTTTCTAAGGTACATATTCACTGAAAATTAAATTTAACATGTTAATATATATATTTTTACCTATTTGCTTCAAAGAAATTCGAAAAAACTTAAAAATGACGATTATGACAATTGTCACTTTTCTAAGGTACATATTCACTGAAAATTTAATTTAACATGTTTCAATATATATTTTTACCTATTTGCTTCAAAAAAATTCGACAAAACTTAAAAATTACGATTATGACAATTGTCACTTTTCTAAGGTACATATTCACTGAAAATTTAATATAACATGTTAATATATATATTTTTACCTATTTGCTTCAAGGAAATTCGAAAAAACTTAAAAATGAAGATTATGACAATTGTCACTTTTCTAAGGTACATATTCACTAAAAATTTAATTTAACATGTTCACAAAATATATTTTTACCTATTTGCTTCAAAAAAATTCGAAAAAACCTAAAGATGACGATTATGACAAATTTTAACGCAAGCCCACCCAGCAAGCCGACCCTGCAAGCCGACGAAACAAGCCGACCCAGCAAGCCGACCCATCAAGCCGACCCATCAAGCCGACCCAACAAGCCGACCCAGCAAGCCAACCCATCAAGCCGACCCAACAAGCCGACCCAGCAAGCCGACCCAACCAAGCCGACCCAGCAAGCCGACCCAACAAGCCGACCCATCAAGCCGACCCAGCAAGCCGACCCAACAAGCCGACCCATCAAGCCGACCCAGCAAGCCGACCCACCAAGCCGACCCAACAAGCCGACCCATCAAGCCGACCCAACAATCCGACCCAGCAAGCCGACCCAGCAAGCCGACTCATCGGGTCGGCCCAATGGGTCAGCTCATGTGGCCCATTGGGTCGGGTCGGGTCTGATCTATGGCTAAATGGGTTGGCTCGGGTTTAAGGTCGTTTTTTTCGGCTCAAACCTTGCTGGGTTTTCGGCCAAGCCGACCCGACCCAGCAATTTAACAACACTATTGCTAAGCCTAAAAATCGTCTAACTAAGCCTATCTGCTAAAATTAAATTAGTCAAAATTCTGCATTGATGCTTAGTATTAATTATTATTTATTTATTTTAGTAAAATAATTTATTTTATTTATATTTAATGTAAATATTTTATAATTATCAACAAATAAACATGATATGATTTAATATTTTTTATTTATATTATTATATTTTGAAATGAAAAATAATTTATTTATTTGATGTTATTTTAATAAAAAAAATAATATGCTGCTATATTGTAAAAATGTAATATTCTTTTTAATATAATTTATTAGTGATTTTCACAATCTTCTTTGAAAATACATCTTTTATTGAGGAATTATATTGTATATTTTATTAGATAAATAAACAATCTTTTAGGTGATCTTTTATAATTTTTTTAAAATTATCTATTTTTTATTAAATGAGGTGGATTTTATGAAACTTTTTTGATGATTTTATATGATCTTTTTAAGGATAAAATTTTAATGTGACAATTGTCATAATCGTTATTTTATAAGTTTTTTGAATTTTTTTGAAGAAAATGTTAAAATAAGTTTAATAACATGTGTAAATATAAATTTAGTGAAGATGTACCAATGAAAAGTGACAATTGTCATAATCGTTATTTTTAAAGTTTTTTGAATTTTTTTGACGACAATATGTTAAAATAAGTATTAATAACATGTTTAAATAAAAATTTAGTGAAGATATACCATAGAAAATTGACAATTGTCATAATCGTTATTTTATAAGTTTTTTGAATTTTTTTGAAGAAAATATGTTAAAATAAGTATTAATAAGATGTTTAAATAAAAATTTAGTGAAGATGTACCATAGAAAAGTGACAATTGTCATAATCGTTATTTTATAAGTTTTTTAAATTTTTTTGACGAAAATATGTTAAAATAAGTATTGATAAGATGTTTAAAATAAAAATTTAGTGAAGATGTTCCATAGAAAAGTGACAATTGTCATAATCGTTATTTTTAAAGTTTTTTGAATTTTTTTGACGAAAATATGATAAAATAAGTATTAATAACATGTGTAAATATAAATTTAGTGAAGATGTACCAATGAAAAGTGACAATTGTCATAATCGTTATTCTTAAGGTTTTTTGAATTTTTTTGACGAAAATATTTTAAAATAAGTATTGATAACATGTTTAAATAAAAATTTAATGAAGATGTACCATAGAAAAGTGACAATTGTCATAATCGTTATTTTTAAAATTTCTTTGATGTAAATTGGTAAAAATATAGACTGTAAAATTAAAATTGCCTGAGTATATGCCATAGAAAAAACATATGGTAATAATAGATTCTTCCCTACAGGGATGCGAACCCGACAAAATTTTTGTCCGGGTTCGGTTCGGGTTCGGTTCGGGGTATAAAAAAAAAGGTGGGTTCGGTTCGGGTTCGGTTCAGGGAAATATTTTTGAACCCAGGTTTGGTTCGGGTTCGGTTCGGGTTCAAGAATTTTTGAGTTGATAAAAAAAATTCTATATTTAAATCATAATAAAAAACTAGACATAAATTTGATATAAAAAATAAATTTTTTATTTTATTTATAGGCAAATATAGTTAAAAATACAAAGCATATAGTCATGTATCAATTTTAAAAATTTTATTTAGACGTATTAGCATAATATCTTCCAAGAGTTGTTCACTCATCCTCGATCTATGTGGTGAAAGAATGAATTTCAAATGTGAAAAAGATCTTTCAACGCTAACCTATGTTAAATGTATTTATATGTGAAAATATGAAAAATTAACTTGGGTTGCAGGAACAGCAAATAAGATTTTAGATAAAATATATAATTCAGGGTGTTCCAGCTTAGCAGACTCCCAAAAATGCAAAATATTTTCCTTCTTATCTAATCTTTTATAATCGCTAAATCCAGTAATTATTGTTCCAATACTTTTCTCAGCAATCGTTGGCCCTCTTTTAAGTATTTTCTCCTGCCTTTCTTTAAGTTGTATCAATTTCTCTAAATCATCTTCTTGTTCAATAACTTCATCGGAACTAATATCATCAGATAAAATCGGCGTTGTTAAGCTTTTAATTCGTCTCCATAAATTGACAAGATGTTTTTTCGCACAAATCTTATCATCATCACTAAGTAATACCTGTAATATTTAAGGATTTATATTGTTTATATTTAAATATTTCATAAAATAACAATTTTAATATAAATCTAAAATAATTAATTTACTAAGCTTTTAATTAACCTTGTATCTTGGGTCCAGGTATATGGCAGCTAAGAGAATTTCGTTCTTTATAAACCTTTCTTCTCTGTTCTTAAGACAAGAATATAGTAATTGAGCAAAATGGTTTGGATTTTTTTCCAGTTCGATGCAGCATCTTAACCATGCTGCATAAAAATCTGTCAGTGTTAACTGTTCAGATTGGAATTGTTTGGTTGCGATTTTTAGCGGTTTTAAAATTTCAACAATCGTTATTATCTCTTTTCAATCTTCAGTCAATAAATAACCAGATTGCTCTGTAAAAAAATCTTCGATATTGGGTTTTAGTAAAATCAGCCTTTCTAACATATCATGGGTTGAATGCCAGTGGCAATCTAACACAGGCTTAGGGAGTTTCATATTTTTTAATAACTTTTGGTAAGTGGAATGTCTTAATTTTAAATTTAGGCTCCTAGCCTTTGCAATGGTTTCCACAATAGGTGATAATTTTATAGCATCTTGAAGTGCCAGCTGAAGTGTGTGAGCTGCACACCGTACACTATAAATCGGATAGGATATAATAGTTGATAAAAAAGTATTTTGTATATCATCAATATCATATTTATATACATTTACATCCATATTTTCCTCATCTGCTGATTCACTCCTTATATCATAATCAGTTTCAGGTTGCAGGAGCTTTATAGCTCTTAAAAAATTACAACCATTATCAGAAGTAATTGTGTATATTTGTTGAATATTAATTTTAAATTTTAGTAAAGTTTTTAATATATTCTCCTGTACATCTCTCTTTCAGCTCTACAATTCCAAGAGTCCTCAAATTTATAATGGACTTTGATATAAATTGAATATTTACACCAAGAATTGACCTATCTAAGTCGTTGAACTGCATCAACTTTTAAACTTATTAATTTTCCTTCTACCTCTCTCGATATTTTGTCTCTAATTGATTGGGCTGTTTTATTAATAGTTCTGGATAAATTTTCTTTGTTTATAACTAAATTGAGCCCAGATAGGAGTGGATTTATAATTCTTTGAAATCCCGAATTTTCAATAATTGATAAAGGCCGGCCATTTACAGTAACAAGTTCTAGTATAGAACTCATCAAATCATTAGATGATATATTTATACTTATATGCTTTTTTGGAAAAAAGGTTTCTATATTAATTTTAGGTTTTTTTGTCAATAACAATTCCTGATATTTGGTTTTTTCATTTAAATAATGAAAATATTCATTGTTGTGATTTCTTTCCAGGTGTCTTTTTAAATTTGACAAGTGATTACCAGACATTTTTACTTTGCAATATGAACATATTGATTTTTTTTCTATTGTATTAAGGGTAAAATGCTTATCAAATATGACTTTATCTTTAATCTATAAAAAGAGAACAATTTTTTTAAATAGCAATGATTTCAGAATTAAAAAAGAGATATTTATAAATTTAATTTCATTTAGAATATGCACTTCATTAATATCTTGTAAAAATTAAACTGAACCAAAAATAAATGATTAGCATATATAAATTTTAAAATCATTTTAATAAGTTCACAAAAACTGCCCTACATTTAACAATTTTTAGGTTAGATGTTTACAATTTTTTAAATTAACAATATAATAATTTTTACTTTGATTTGTTAACCATTTTCTTCTAATTAGTAATCTTTAAGAATAATAAGAAATGGCGTAAATTAATTCAATTGTTTAAAATTTTTTAACACTCCAATAGGAATCGAGTATAAATTTAAAAATGGCATAAATGAATTAAGTTGTTTAAAATTTATTAAGACTTCATTTAATTGGAAATTTGAAAATATAATATTTGTATTTACATATATTAATATATGATTTTAAATAATACACTGAACCCGATTGAACCCGGGTTCAAATAAAATTCTTGGGTTCGGTTCGGGGTTTTGAAAATTTTATAAATAGGGTTCAGGTTCGGTTCGGGTTCAGAGTTTTTTTCTAAAAACCCGGGTTCACTTCTCCGGGTTCGGGTTCGGTTCGAATCCCTGCTTCCCTAAAAACAGGAGCAAATTGGCTTTTTATTACATCCGTTCATCGGGTCAGAAATTAATGCAAAATTTATATCATAAATTCTAAGTTGAAATTATTATTTTTTTGCCAATTTTCACCAGACAATCTTGTTTAAAATTTGGGTAAACTTTTTTTTCTATTTTAAAATCAATATTGATGCAAGTTAACTATTTTCGTCAAAAAAAAAATCAAAAAACTTTAAAAATAATGATTATGACAATTGTCGCTTATCTAGAGTACATCTTCACTAAATTTTTATTTAAACATGTTATCAATACTTATTATTAAAAAATCTTTGTCAATAAAATTAAAAAAACTTTAAAAATAATGATTATGACAATTGTCGCTTATCTAGAGTACATCTTCACTAAATTTTATTTACACATGTTATTAATATTTATTTTAACATATTGTCGTCAAAAAAATTCAAAAAACATATAAAATAGCGATTATGACAATTGTCACTTTTCATTGGTACATCTTCACTAAATTTATATTTACACATGTTATTAATACTTATTTTAACATATTTTCATCAAAAAACTTTAAAATTAAAGATTATGACAATTGTCACTTTTCATTGGTACATCCTCACTAAATTTATATTTACACATGTTATTAATACTTATTTTAACATACTTTCTTCAAAAAAATTCAAAAAACTTTAAAAATAACGATTATGACAATTGTCACTTTTCATTGGTACATCTTCACTAAATTTATATTTACACATGTTATTAAACTTATTTTAACAAATTTTCTTCAAAAAAATTAAAAAAACATATAAAATAACGATTATGACAATTGTCACATTAAAATATTATCCTTAAAAAGATCATATAAAATCATCAAAAAAGTTTCATAAAATCCACCTCATATAATAAAAAATAGATATGTTGAATATGACATATTATATTTATATTTTTTAAAGGTTTTTATATTATATGATATTCAAAATACCTTTTACAAATTGTCTTTTATTAAAAATTGTCATATTAAAAAAACCTTATTTTTATTTTGTGAATAGTTACAAAAACTCATTATTGAAAATGTATATAAAGTGTAATATATTTTTGTAAAAGACAGTTATATAAATTTTTCAATAAAAGTTTGTTTTTACTCGTACCTTGTTTGCAATGCCTTCCATAAATTATTATGGTGGCAGCGAATTAAGACGCTACAAATTATACTGAAACATGGTGAAGCTAGACAAAAGAGGATTATGGAAAATGATTTTAATATTATTCTAAAAAAACGTAAGAGATGATTAAAATATAAAATTAATAAAAATATAATAAAATTTTAATGTTGAAATATTTAAAATAAGACAATATTGATAAAACAAAATTAATAGATTAATTAGAAGATTATTTAGTATAAAATTTAAGGATGATGAAATACGATGAGCACGATAAAGGGATGAAGTCGCACGTACATAGATATCAGTGGAATCCGAGATACGATAATTATGAAGATTCGAGACATACAAATAATTATGTACCAAGATATAGAAACAATTATAATCCTAGAGTTTGTGATAATGATAGGGGGTATAATGGGCCAGGACCGTATAATAATTTTACAAGATTTAACAATAAAAATAATTATATCTACGATAACTATAGATATAATAATAATGATAATTACAAATATAATGAAAATAATTATAGATATTATAGACATCAGAACGAATCGAGATACATACCTAGATACAGTAATAATCAGAACAATAATCAGTCATACAAGAACAGATTTGATGTAAATAGATTGGATGATGATGACAAGAAAAATGATGATTACAAAGTTACGATATACCTTAACGATATACCGGTAGACATGCAGATAAATACCGGGTCACGATTTTCGATATTGCCGATTAATATTGCTAGAAAGATAGAAATCAAAGTCTTGAATAAATCGGATACGAAACTGACTGGCTATGATGGGAGAAGAATAGAGGTGCTAGGAATCGTTAAAATAAGAGTGAGATATGAAGACAAAACTCAAAATTTAGATGCTTTTGTAGTCCAAAATGACAAAATTGCAATTCTGGGAAGGACGTGGATAAAGGTTTTTGGGAACATACTTAATAAAATTGTAAATATAATCGAGGAAAATAGAGAAGTAGATAGTAAAAATTATGAAGGTACATATTACAATAAAAAGCATGAAAATTATAAATATAATAATAATAAAACCTTGAATAAAATTGAATTGTGTAAATTAAATGTTAAAAAAGAAATAAATTCTTATAAATTAGAAGAAATAAGTCATTTGATAACAATTGAAGAAATAATAGTTATTAAAAACAATAATGAAATAAAAATTGAAGAAAATAATAAAATAAAAAATTTTATAATTAATAAAAAATTTAAAAAAACTTTGGAAAAGAAAATTAAAACAAAGGTGATTAAATATCGTGATATTGAAAGTGAGATTAGGAGTACGATATGGAGATCGTATGTTGAAAATGGAAGGAGAAAGAGAAATTTTGTTATAAAGAACAAGTTAAAGAGAAATTATGATATAAAAAAAATGTTTAAATTGAAAAATAAAGGTGTAAAATTTAAAAATAAAAATAATTAAATAAAAAATTATAATATAAAATGCAACAATTCCAAATATTATATTATTCTATATTCCATGATTCTTATTCTAATGATTGATTCTGATAAATTATTTATTCCATTATCATTTCAATTATTTCAAAATTATTTTATTTGAGATATATTGATCATAATATATATTTACAAACATTGATAAAAATGATAATGAATAACGAGATGAACAAGCTAGTCTGAAGATGATGTTCAAGCGAATGATTAGATGATAAGGATAACAAGCTAAAATTAATGAAAAGATATGACTGAGGTTAAACAACAACAAAATATCAAATGAAAATACTACAAAGGAGAAAAAAATGAGGGGGAAGAAGTGAACAAGTTCAAGTTCAAGTGCAACAAAATTTGAAAATTCAAAGTCAACTTTAAAATTCAAAAAATTCAGTCAAACAAAAATTCAAGTTCAAAACAGGATATATGACCTACGACATAGAAAATGATTGTTAAAAATAAATAAAATTTTGTAAAAAATATTTATATAAAATTTTGAAAGAGAAATGGGATGATCAATACAAACAGCAAATCAACAAGCAATGTTCAACCAACGATGTTTCATGATGTTCGATAATCGATTCAACTAACGATAATCAGTTGGTCAAACAAACAATCAAAGATATACGAACAAATGACTTATGAAGCAATTAAGAAACGAATGACTGGAACTAAATGGAAAGGTAAATGCAAACAACGGATCAACAAACGATGTTGGACGAGCGATGATACAAGGCACAAACTAATTCGAGACAGATCGACAAATGATTAATGGAGCTATGAAGGAGATGACAAATGAAGGAAGAGTTCACTTAGAAAAAGGGGGAGATGTTGAATATGACATATTATATTTATATTTTTTGAAGGTTTTTATATTATATGATATTCAAAATACCTTTTACAAATTGTCTTTTAAAAATTGTCTTTTAAAAATTGTCTTTAACATATTAAAAAAACCTTATTTTTATTTTGTGAATAGTTACAAAAACTCATTATTGAAAATGTATATAAAGTGTAATATATTTTTGTAAAAGACAGTTATATAAATTTTTCAATAAAAGTTTGTTTTTACTCGTGCCTTGTTTGCAATGCCTTCCATAAATTATTAAGTTAATTTAAAAAAAATGATAAAAAAAATTATAAAAGATTTCACCTAAAAGATTGTTTATTTATCTAATAATTTACAATATAATTCCTCAATAAAAGATGTATTTACAAAGATAATTGTGAAAATCACTAATAAATTATATTAAAAAGAATATTACATTTTTACAATATAGCAGCATATTATTTTTTTTATTAAAATAACATCAAATAAATAAATTTATTTTCATTTCAAAATATAATAATATAAATAAAAAATATTAAATCATATCATGTTTATTGGTTGATAATAATAAAATATTTACATAAAATATAAATAAAATAAATTATTTTACTAAAATAAATAAATAATAATTAATGCTAAGCATCGATGCAGAATTTTGACTAATTTATTTTAGCCAATTTTTAGGCTTAGCCCATTTTTAGGCTTAGCTAATTTTTAGTCTTAGCCGATTTTTAGCTTAGCCTAATTAGGTTTAGCCAATTTTTTCACCTAAAATCTTGGCTAAGCCGTTTTGTAGTCGGCTAAAATTAGCCGATTACGCAACACTAATTGATAGGCCATAAATAAATTATACCTGTCTATTCTCAGTTTACATGTACATTCGCAGTTTTCCTCTCAATTCTCAGTTTAGTTACACCCAACCCAGGCCATTAAACTCAACTATCTTACCCTGAATTCATAGTGGCGCAATTGCTATTTAGACGCGATAAATACAAAATACAGTAAATATGATATCCGAAGATTTTGAAATATTGCTTCCACATTTTGGTGAATTTATCTTAAAATTTAAGATTTAGCGCTATTTTTAAATTATTTGAAATGAATTCAATGGTTACATTTTTTTGATGATGTAAAATCAAAGAATCATCAAGTTAAAATTATGATTTAAATTAAAAAAATTTTTTTAGAAATTAGATAAAACAGCTTTTATAGTATCAGTTAAAGAATATGAATGTTTGTATAATAAACATAATAATTTATATAAAAATATTATATACAAGAATAATATTTGGGAATTATTAGCCCACCAGTATAATATGCCCAGTAATAATTTTGCATATATATTATATTTATAAACCTTTTTAGGTTCATCTCTCAAAGCTCTTTGGAAAAATTTAAGAGATTGTTTCTTAAAAGAGAGAAACAAGCTTCACAAACTTAAAAGTGGGTCAGAGGCTGGCCATCATATTTCATGACCATTCTACCAGGATATGCAATTCTTGGTAGATACTGTAACACCAAGGTTACAGCAGTCCTCTTTAGATAAAGTGGACTCTACTCCTACAAACGTCAATGAGATATTAAATGAAATATCAAAATATCAGGGGAGTTATATGAATGTAAAATATAGAATTTTAATTGATAATGTATTTATTATTTAGGTGATCTCATTGACAATGAGAATATAATAGATGATAAACTTATTCCCAAACCTCCTATAGAACTAAACCTTAATGATTCTGGTAAATAATAATATCTAAAAATAAATATTATTTATAGTGAAGAATCTATCTCCTATGTTCTATCACCTCGTTCATATTATAATTGTCATAAGAGAAAGAAAAATGATTTAGGTAATTTTATTATTTGATTTATTGAAAATTTTTAAATAGATGACTTTAAGAAACTAATAAAATTAGAAGAAGAAAAAACATTAATAACCATGGAAATGCTTAAAAATAAACCAACTACATATGGAATATGTCTTATGTTGAAAGAAAAATTAGATGATTGTACAAATAAGGAAAAAAAGGATTTAACTATAATATTTGATGCTATAAAAGATTTTAAATGTATAAAAGATTTGAATTGAAAAAAAATTATTTTGTATATATTTATGTTATATGAAATAGATATTTTTATGTAATTGTTTGAAATAGATATTTTTATGTATTTGTATTATTTGAAATAGATATTTTTATGTATTTGTTTATTTGAAATATATATTTTATTTAAAATAAATTACACAATTAGCCTTCTTAGTGATATATTTCTACACATAATTTATAATGAATTTAGACTTTTTTAAAACTAAATTTATTTTTATTAAAATATATGAAAAATACAAGATAAAATATAATTTAATTTATAAAAAAAAAATTATATATAAAATATATTTATAATATAGGATTTTGATATAAATATAAGCATAATAAATTTCTATTATATTTTGCAATATTTGATGAAGATTTAATTGCTCTCCCAAAATCCTACCTTCAGCCTCATCGTGGCGGGGGAGTGGCAACGTCTTTTGGCGGCAAATGGAGGTCTAAAAGGTTCCCTGTGATCTGGGTCTAGAATAGGATCACCCTCTCCTCGACGGGGTGTAAAAACCACTTAAAGAGGTTGATGTCAGGAAGGGCATCCGATTGTAAAAACCATGCTACAAAAATTTCCCTATGGTTACAACAAAGCATGGGCGGGGTACAGCCCAAAGTACCCCGTGGGCCTCCTCATCCGCCTACGACAAAAAGAAGGATGGGAAACCTGGTGGAACCACTATTCATGAAAATGAAACCTATGACGGCCATAAACGACCTAATAAAAAGTGGAGAAACCAGTTTACGGGTGATCGAGTTAGGGTCGCGACATGGAATGTTGGGAGTATGACGGGAAGAGCGGGAGAAGTCGTCGATGTATTGCACAGAAGACATATAGATGTGTGCTGCATACAGGAGACTAGATGGAAAGGAAATGGGACCAGAATGATTGGCAAGACTAGCGAAAAGTATAAATTCTTTTGGCAAGGAGGTAATGATGGTAAGGCTGGAGTTGGGGTATTGGTTGCGGAGAAATTGGTAGACAAAGTAGTCGAAGTGAGAAGGCTAGACAACCAGATAATGGTTATCAAGATGATTATTGGTAGAAAGCTATATAATATGATCTCGGCATATGTTCCTCAGGTTGGAAGAAGTGAAGAAGAGAAAGATGTATTTTGGGACAGTCTATTGGGGGTGACATCGAGACTGGCAAATGAAGAGGGGATTATCCTAGCTGGCGATCTGAATGGACATGTGGGAGCGAGTAGTGAGGGTTATGAAGGAGTACATGGAGGGTTCAGTTATGGCATGAGAAATTTGGAAGGAGAGAGGATTTTAGAATTTAGTGATGCTATGGATATGATTGTTTGTAATACAATGTTTAAGAAAGAATCAGAGAAGCTGGTGACTTATAAGTCGGGTAGTACCAAAAGTGTTGTGGATTACTTGTTATTAAGGAGATGTGATCGATGTATAATAAAAAATGTGAAAGTGATACCGGGAGAGGAATGTATAAATCAGCATCGACTAGTTGTAGGAGATCTCACTCTTAAAGGTGCCAGGGTCACTAAAAGAAAGTTTGTCCCAAGGCTGAAGGTTTGGAAATTGAAGGAGGAGAATGCTAGACGTCAATTCAATATGGCATTGGCGATTAGGGAGGCGGAGGTGGCACAAGCATCTGGGGTGAATGACAAGTGGGAAGCCATGAAGAAAGCTTGGGTAATGACAACTGAGGAGGTATGTGGATGGACAAAAGGGCCGCCTAGACATAAGGAGACTTGGTGGTGGAGCCCAGAGGTAGCGAAAGCCGTGGATGAGAAACGGAGGTGTTTCAAAGTATGGTATAATAGCAAAGAAAATAGTGATAATGATATTTACAAGATGGCTAAAAGAAATGCTAAGAAATTAATAGCGAAGGCTCAAGAAGAAAAAAGACACGAGTTTGCTAAAGAAATGAAATGCGCTGATGGAATTGGAAATATGGTTAGAATGGCAAAACAGATGTCAAAAAAGAGGCAGGATGTGATAGGTGTAAAGTGTTTGAAAAATATGGAAGGAAAAATGACGATTGATAGTAGTGGTATTAAGAACACCTGGAAGATTTACATGAAAGGACTTTTGAATGAAGAAAATGAATGGAATAATAATATTAGTTGTGCAAAGGTAGAAGGTCCAGGGTGTAAATTTGGCAAGGACGAGATAAGGAGAGCAGTGAAAAAGATGAAGAAAGGGAAGGCATCGGGTTTAACGATGGTGGTATCAGAGATGTTTAAAGGTTCTGATGATTTAGGGATTGAATGGTTAATGAATTTAGCAAATCAGATTGTCACAGAAGGTACTATTCCCGAGGACTGGCGAAGAAGTATAATTATCCCAGTATACAAGGGGAAAGGTGATCCTTTAGATTGTGGGTCTTACAGAGCTATTAAACTCTTGGAACATGCAATGAAAGTATTTGAGAGAGTGTTAGAAAAGCGGATAAGGGAACAAATCAAAATTGATGAAATGCAGTTTGGTTTTACATCGGGAAAAGGCACGACAGATGCAATTTTTGTGGTGAGACAAATTCAGGAGAAGTATCTTGCGAAGGAAAAGAAACTCTATTATGCGTTTGTTGATTTGGAGAAAGCATTTGATAGGGTGCCGCGTGAGATTACAAGATGGGCCTTGAGAAAATCCGGTGTGGAGGAATGGTTAGTTACCGCAGTGATGGCAATGTATGTTGGAGCACAAACAGCAGTACGGACGGATCATGGTGATAGTGACAGCTTTGAGGTGAAGGTAGGACTTCATCAAGGATCCGTGCTGAGTCCATTATTATTTATCTTAGTAATGGATGTGGTGGCTAGAGAAATGCGTGAAGGACTTCCCTGGGAGATATTATATGCAGATGACCTTGTATTAATGGCAAACAGTGAGGGAGAATTGAGGGATAAAGTTAGTAAATGGAAGATGACTATGGAAGCAAAGGGCCTGAAAATGAATGCATCAAAAACAAAGGTGATGATTGGTGGGGAAAATCTAAAGATAGAAGAATCAGGTAAGTGGCCTTGTGGTGTATGTGGGAAAGGAGTTGCTAGAAATTCTATCCAATGCACCAGATGCCAGAAATGGGTACATAAAAGATGTAGTGGGAAAAAAGGCAGTTTGATGTTAGAAAGAATGACCTTTATTTGTAAAACATGCATGAAAGGGATACATAATAATGATAACCTAAAAAATGGTGGTCTGGATATTGGCAATGGGTTAACCCTAGAAAAAGTGGATAAGTTTTGTTATTTAGGTGATATGCTAAACGCAGATGGTGGTGTAGATTCTGCTGTTGTTGCAAGGATCAGACAAGCTTGGAAGAAGTTCAGAGAGATGTCATCTATTCTTACAAATAAAAAAGTTTCTCTGAAGTTAAAGGGGAAAGTTTACGTAAGCTGCGTGAGGAGTTGTTTAGTTTATGGCGGTGAAACATGGGCAATGAAAGCAATTCACGAAGCCAAATTAGAAAGAACAGAGATGAGGATGGTTAGATGGATGTGTGGGGTATCTCTGAGAGAGAGAAAAACTAGCAAGGAATTGCGAGCAAGATTAGGTATAGAAATGATTGGTATGGTAATGCGACGAAATAGACTAAGATGGTTTGGGCATGTGGAACGTATGACAAGAGATGACTGGGTAAAGAGATGCACAATGATGGAAGTAGGAGGATCAAGACCTAGAGGAAGACCCAAGATGACGTGGACAAATGTGATAGCGGCGGATATGAGAAGCTTGAATCTTACAAGTATTGATGCTCAGGACCGTCAAAAATGGAAAAGAAAAATCAGAGGGAAAACTGGCCTACCCGGGTAAACCTGGAAATCGCCATAAAACGGAGAAGAAGAAGATGAAGATTTAATTGATTAGTGATTAAATAAATTATTTAAAGGGGTTGATTTTTTTTGAGGGTTAAAAGGAATATATTTTTCCTTATCAATAATAATGTTATTGAGTAAGGTACATGTTTTAATTATATCTTCTGTTAGCTCTAATTTCGTATCCATTGGTTGATCAAAGATCATCCATTTAGCTCTTAGAATACCAAATGTGCATTCCACTTGTATTCTAGCCCTAGATATTCTATAATTATAGGCCTCCTGTTGGGGTGTAAGTTTACCTTAAGATAATATTGAAAACAAATTTTATTATATATAAAAAATTAATAATTCATGATTATTAAGAAACTGGCCATTTCAATTAAGTTAATATTAGCCAAAATAATTGCTTTTATATATTATATAAATAATTCAATATATACCCTTGTAAGGTTTTAAAATAGAAGACTTCAACGGATAAGCATCATCACCCACAAAATAATGTGGGAAAATAAGGCTGGAATTGGGCAATTTTTTTGCAGGAGGCAATTTAATCTCTCCACTTTCTATCATTTTATATATTTTGGAGTTAGCAAAAATTCCTCCATCAGATTCACTGCCAAAACTGCCAACATCAACAGTTATAAATTTTCCATTAGCATCTACAATTCCTTGTTTTTACAATATTTAAATAATATATTTTTTTAAAAAAATTATATTTTTGTAATTATCAAGTTTTCATTGCAATCTTTAATTAATGCAGAAATATTTAATTAGCATAAATAAAAAACAAATTCACAAACCTTGTAAAACAACAGAGAAAAAATGTTTGTAATTGTAAAATCCACTGCCAGAATGAGGTGGTTTCCTTATTCTGCAGTGTTTACCATCAATACTACCTATACAATTAGGTAGATTCCACTTTAATTCAAAGTCTTTTTAAAAAATAATAAACATAAATATAATATTAACTATATTTACCTTCGCTATTCTCTCAAAATCAGAGAGAGTAGGTGGTGGCATATGTTGGCTTACCAAAGCTTGCCATATAGCTTTGGTAGTTCTCTTAATAATTTGTTGGATGGTAGATATACCCCTTTTGAAAGAATAAGCTAGGGTAGGATACCTACATCCTGTTGCTAAATACCTAAATAAAAAATATATTTAAATAATTAATTGCTTTACCTTAGACAAATCATAAGCCTTTCTTCAACAGTTATAGGATCCTTTATAAAATTTGATGATGTTGTAGGCAATATAGGTTTTATATGCCTAATTATATAATAAAAGGTTTCCTAAATTAAAATGAATTATAGATAAAATAGAAAAAAAGTACTTTTGTCATCCTCATATAGTTGTAAAATTTAGGATCATCTTTTAAGAGTTTAGGAAAGAGGATGTAAAATTCGCCTTCTTTTCTTTTATTAATAATAAGCGTGTTTAATGTTCTCATCTTCAACATCATTTTGTATAAAAATAATAATTTGAGGAGGGATACCATTCTGAATTAATAACGCTTTGCTCTGCTCTATAATGAAAATCGCAGCGATAGATCCAGCTGATCGGTCGCTGCGATATCGCCGCGAAATCGCAATCGCTCTTACTATGAATTCAGGGTTAAACATATATTGATTTACCAAAATATTCTTGATAGGCCATAAGAAATTAGACCTTTAAGACCCCAATTTGCATCACATTGGTTAAAAATTATTATAACTGTATCAATCTTTTTTAATGATTTTTAAATTTCGAGTGACTGACGTCTTCCTATTTGAATAATGGAATATAGAAATTTATCAAGCTCCCATAAAAAATTAGATAATTTGTCTTTATCTAATTTTCCTTCAAACTTTTCTTTAGAAAAATTGTTACCTGGTTATTCAATTGATGATTTGGAATATCCTCCAACACCTCCAGAGTATGACTATAATGATCAGAAAATATCGATAACAGAGCGAAGGCATCATAATTCTGATTTTCAACTTGATTATTTAAATAGTCAAAAATTAACTCATTTAAAAACCGTAAATTATAGAACTCCTGAAGACTTTTCTAATCAATTGTTAAAAAAATTTCAAAACAATAAATACATATCACCATTAACAAATAACAATGTACAGAAAAATTCAGTTGATGAATTGAATGTTGAATTTAATAATGTAAAAAATGAAAACTATGAGATTCTAAAAGAAGGTTCAATCAATATCTATAAGTATATTAAATGGGTTAAAAAAATATATTAGGAAAGGATAAAAATTATATATATCTTTTTATAACTTATTCACTTGATTCTGAGGATCATTACAGGTTAATTATTTAATTATATAAGTTTTTAAGTTTAAAACATTAACAGAAATGTTATAAATTTGAAAAAATGTTTAGAAAATTATGGCAAATTCAAAGTTTATATGGATGCTTATGAACAGACATCAATGGCAAAAGATATTTATGGCTGGATGAATTTTTGCTTTAAAAATGTTACAATTTAGAATTTATTTTTAAATATTTTGAATTAAACTATCATTTATATTACTAATTCCATATTGGTAATTAAATATTTAAATATTATTTATCATTAATTTTGTAAAAGGCTGATTTTATTTTACCAATAATATCCCCTCTTTACAAAATGACCACTGAATCTATTGACTCCTTGCAAAATGTTTTGATCAATGAACATATCAAGCAAACAAGGTTAATTATTTATATTATATAAAAAATTATAATATATTAACTCACTTTTCAAAAGCCATTTTGCTAATAGCTATCCAAACTTTTATTCCATATATTAGCAAAATCTTGAAGCTTTTATAATATTTTTGGGATAAAATATTGAGTTAGCCATTTTAAAGTCAATCTGCTTAACAACATTACTTACAACTAATGTTGTTAATTGCTAAAAAATAACTAACTAGTTATATTTTTTGGAATGTAACTGCCAAAAGTAACTAGTTACTTTTAAAAATATATATGTTTAATCGAAATAATATATTCTAGTAATTAATTTTATTTTTAATAAGTTTTTTTAAAATATAACTATTTATTAAATTTTAATATCTATATTCTATGTAAAAATATATAATTAAAAGAAGAGAAATTAAATAAAATAATGTATTTAGGTTTAGACGGCGGGGCTTAATGGCCCATGAGTATAGATATACATTTGGATCAACAAATTTTGATTGATATTATTTGTCATAGGTAGAAACCTTTTTTGGATCACCTGTGATTATACATAACCTTTGCACATTTTGATTAATTTTAGGGCTTGGGGTCCAAATGATCCACAGGTGTTGAGACTACCATTTCAAATAAAAGATTAATAAGGTGGCTATATTTATAATAAAATCACTCAATAATTGCTTATTTGGGAGACTATATTAGAGGTCTGCAAAGTAATTTTTTCGCAGCCCGAGCCTGAATTTGAAAAATTTTTTTGCCCAACCCGAACCCGAGTCCACATATTTTAGTCCGACCAGAGTCTGAATAAAATTTTACAATTTGAGTTTGAATATTATAATAACTAAAAAAAATTATTTGTATTTATTCATCCCCACCCTAAATAAGTTTATTTGACGGCCACAATCTAATCAAGATATTATGTTTAATTTGTAAAATATTATAGAAAAGTTAAAAAAATACAATCGAATCTAAAAATTATAAATAATTTAACCATATTTTCATATATTTGTTATCAGCATGTCCACTCTTTTTCATATATGCATTATATTTCAGAAATAATTTATTACGTATACCATCAGCAGTATCTATTAAATTTCTAGTAATTGTTGTGGGATTTGGAATGATGTTTTAATTTAACATCAATATTTCCATATATTGAGCCAATTTTGGCAAAATATTGGTAATCAACAAAGCTTTCCCATGAATTGCATCAAATGATATCAAATCACGTCCACAAAACATAGTAAGCCCCTTTGTACGCTCTTATTTAAAATTATGCACAATTTTTGAGTTTTTTTGAATCAGTAATGTCTATCAATTGTTAATTGACTCTTTTTACTCAGTTTTATTATTGATATAAATTATAATAATTATTTAGGATATTTATATTAATATTTTTTTCGGGTCGGGTTGTGTTTCGGGTCGGACAACTCTTACAGCCTGAACCCGAAAATTATTTTTTTTAATGTCCGAAACTCGGGACGGGGTACGGACAGCCCGTGCAGTTCTCTAACGTATATTAACAAAAGTGCAACTAATTTATATGCAAATTGTTCAGAGTGTGATTTATTATAGGATTTATTTAGGGTTTAAATTAGTTTCATTTCTTATTAACAGAGTTTGAACCTGTAACCTTACCATTTTTCAGTTCATTCAAAATGCTAATAATATTTAACATATTTCCTTTTCTATAATATAGGATTTTCACGGGATACATCATATTGGGATATAGAATAGATGGGGATTCTGTATCTTAATTTTAAATCCTTTAATGAGACAATATTTTTTAAATTGAAAAATTTGAATTTGAACTGAAATTAATTTCAACATGTATAGGGTATAAATTTTCGCCCTAGATTTTTGTGTTTTTTAAAAAAAAAATTAATATAAATTAAGAGTAGTGCAAAAGCTTACGAATTGTATTAAATTCAGAGTATGGGATAGACCTGTAAACCAATATTGGGTTTAGGATGAAATTGTTTAGTTGGATTTTAAAAACAAAGACCAAACAGAAACTGATTTATGGACACCAATCCAATCCAACCTAAGGTATTATCGGACCGTGACAGGTTCAGACCCCTTTCAAAAAATCTTTTCCCATTAAGTATCTTCCCAATTTTTTTGAAATTATATTCTTTGTCTTATCTCTTTTTTTAAAAGAATTGAGAATTTCAGAGTGTCATAAAATGAATATACTTACGCATTCTTTATTTTTTTTAATGAATATGCATTACGCGTTAGAGATATTTAGTACTTTTTCGAACCCATCACGCAAAATTTAATTTTTTAAAATCACGCCGACTTCATCCAATCAATATTTTTTTATCGACATAATAGATATTTAACGATAATATCGCTTGTGTCAACTTTTTCTTATCAAAAAAATTCAAATTAATTAAGGTGATCTCATTACAACATTAGTTTTTTTTCTGAAACATTCATCTCTTCACTCCGATCCTAAGCTAATTTAATAATCTAAAAGTGAAACGAGTATTAATTAATGGTGATTCACATGTATGTGTACATATATATGTATTTTATATAATAATATTATATTGAGAGAGCCTTTTGAAAATAGTGGCAATTTTAATTGTGACAAAATGTTGTTACATTAGTTAAACTAGACACATAATCAAAATATAAATTAATAGCTTTAATTTGATAATATAATATCTATTATATAAAAAATAAAATAACTACTTTGCATGTAACTGTTGCAGGCGAAAATTTTTTTAACGAAATATAACCAGTTACAGTTACTTTTTAATATATTAATTTTTGTAATATAAAAATAAAAATCACTCCTAAACTGCTATGATTTTAAAGCATATTTTCTGATACCCAATAAAAAGCAAATAAGAGCAAATTATTTTAAATAATAATTTTTTGATACTCAATAAAAAGCAAATAAGAGCAAATTATTTTAAATAATATATATTTTATCATTTTATTCTTCCCTTTATTTTTTAACAGGTACATATTCGGGCTCATGCAGAGAGAAATTTACGAAAATAATTTTAGGAACAATAGGATTAGACCTCTTATTTTATCTGACCACAATGGCGGTGTCGCCAAACAACACGTTCCACACATTCTATCAAACACTTTGGTTTACCAATGGCCCAGGGATGATAAGGATTACGTTCGCTTATTGATCAAAACTTTTGAACAAACGTCGTTAACTCGATAACTACTATCAAAGAAAAAATAAACAAATTACTTTTTAATATGATAACCCACTTTTTTACTATTTATATTATAAATCAAAAACTAAATTTATACAAAAATAATTATTTAAAATTTTTTGTAATATATAAAAATCATTTTATATTTATTGTATTTTTTGATGATTTATTTATGACCATCATGAATATTTTTTTGATAAATCTATACGGCATATTATACATTATCATATAATGATATGAGAATCGTCGGAATTCGAAATCTTCATTTTAAATGATTTATTGAGAGTAAGTCTTAAATTTTTAAAAATCTGATTTGACTGAAAATATTGACTTGAACTTTGGTCTATTAATTAATTTAAAAAAATTATTATAAATTAAGATTAAAATTGTTTGAAATTCTCCGTGTGAGTAGTACTCTATTCCTGCCGGAATACATTTTCGGTCAAATCATATCTTTTAAATTTACAAATTGCCCTCCTTAAATGTTTAAAAATCATGATATTATCCCCTGATTCTTATATCCGAATATGGTATATACTTATTTTCTGAATATTAAAAATACCCCTTTAGTAGCTGCATTTTTGAAGAAATGTCAAGCGAAACATATATCTACTAATGTTTTAGTTACCTTTACAAACCAGTTATTTTTATAAAAGAGGAATGGTTTCAAAGAGGTATAAGTAGCAAATTGTCTATCTAGATCTTATCAGGATTTTCCAATGGACGCTTTTATAATTTTGTAGGCTTCACCCCCAAATTTCGTTTTGCCCGACCTTCGGCCTGGTCCCTATTATAATTTTTTTAATTATTTTTTTGATTTTTCGGTAGTCTTTATATAATCTTCGTTAAAGTTGGCTAAAAAAAGCCCTAATTCTAAAATATGGCAATGTTTTTTGCTTTATTAATGTCAAAAAATTATCAGTAACAAGATTTTTGCCAACCTTAAGTTTAAGAAGTGACTGAAATCACCTATCAGTAAATTTTATATGTTTAAATCATAATTGTATTATATTTAATCCGTTTGGTAGACAGTATAATGAAAATTTCAAAAATAGATATCGTTCTAAAATGGAAAATATAAAAAACTATATATCTGGTATGCGCTAATATTTTACCTGACTAGTACTTTAAATTTCTCACTCAAATATGAAAAATGAAAACTATGACGTAACACTCTATGTGTGAAGCTTTTAGAAACACCAATTCTGAAACTTATACCATACTATTAGGGCTTTATTAGCATATTTTATTCTCTTTTGTAGTTAGTTTAAAGAGGAAAAGAATTATTGATAAAAAATTGTCAAAATTAGCATCATGCCAGAATGGAGAATATAGAAGTTCTAATTATCTGGTTTGCGTTAATATTTCTTTAATTAATTTCACCATCCATTAAAAAAAACCGAATGCAAAAACTAACTAAGATATCACGTCTTAAGTGTAAATTTAGTCAAATCTGGAAGCATTATCTCGGAAATTTATGTCAATAATTAGTACGTATTTCATACTTCTTTACTGCTTCCATCCATTTGGTAGATAGATCAAAGAAAAACATTTTTAGCAAAATGTAAAAATTGGCATGCTGGAAAATTATAAAAGCAATGAATAATATATAATGTATGATCAGTAGTTACTAGTTCATAATCAGTTTTTTTCAACCAATAAATAAGAACCAGTTAATAAAAATTACGATAGCTAAATATTAAATTAGAAATTATCATAAAGCAATTTGGTATGAATATATTAAGGTTTCTCTTACCCCGATTCAAGATATTTTTATATCTTATGATTCTTCATTGATTTTTTTTTCTTTTTAGTTTGTTTAATAGATATAAATATAGAAGTAATTTAAATTTCATTAAACAAGATAGAAAAAAGATTCTAGACGCACAAAAGCAATTACAAAAATAAAACGAAATATCTAAAATAAGTTTTACTATTATTATTATCATTATAAAAAATCCAATCATCTTTTAAAATATGAAATGATGTGGTTGCAGCTTTGATACTTTTATATTTAATAGGGTTACATGTCAATTCAGCGAAACTTTTATCGCGAATGAATTTTATAGCGAAACTTTTATCGCAAATCCACATTAGCGAATACTTTTCCGCGAAAACAATATAGCGAAACAAATATCGCGAATTTTTTATAGCGAAACTCTTATCGCGAAACCTTTAATGCGAATACATTAGAGCGAAATTTTTATCGCGAATCAATAATCGCGAAAATTTTATAGCGAAGTCAATATCGCGAAACATAAATCGCGAAGACAATATAGCGAAAATTATTTCGCGAAATATAACGCGGCCTATTATTATTTTTTTATTTTTATTAAAATAATTTATTTTATTTATATTTAATGTTAATATTTTATTTATCAACAAATAAACATATATGATATATATTTTTTATTTATATTATATTATTATATTATGAAATGAATTTTTTTAATAAAAAAAATGATATGCAACTATTGTAATATTATTTTTGTTACAATTTATTAGTGATTTTCACGCCCAAAATTTTAAGCAAAAAATATTAAGTTCAAAAAGATTTTTAAACATATTTTGATAAAAATTTTAAATCTTTTTTGAGGAATATGCCAGAAAAAAAATTTAATGATATACCCATAAACAATCTTTTAGGTGAAATCTATAGATTTTTTTATCATTTTTGTAAAATTATCTTTTTTGGTTTAGATATCTATATATGTAAATCATTATCCCAAAAAATATTTTAAAAATATCGTGATTTGACAGAAAACCGATTTGAAACCGCCAATGACTAAATACTGTCTTGCTGGCGTTATACATGGAAAATTCTTCATCTTTGGTTTATATGTGAACAATAACGTGGTAAGCATTATCCTATTATCCCAAAAAATATTTTAAAAATATCGTGATTTGACGGATAACCGATTTGAAACCGAAATACTGCCTTGTTGGCGTTATACATGGAAAATTCTTCATTTTTGTTTTATATGTGAACAATAACGTATTAAGCATTATCCTAATTAATTTTTTGAAAATAAAATTATAAGTGATTTATGGACTAACAACAATTGTGAGTCCATGATTCATGTATTTAAAAGTTATACAAATTGGCAATCAAGTAATATAATTAATTTAATTGATACAATATATAATAAAGTACAAATACAAGAAAAAGATCTCAAAAGAGCTTTGATAGGAAAGGAGAATATTATTTGGCTGAGGGGTATAAGTCATTTCAGATAGATTTATCAGTTTGGGAGAAATTTAGTGAGGAAGATAAAAAAAAAGAGGTAGAAAATTTAATAAAAGGAAGTTAAAAACGGGAAAGAGAAAATGTCATGTCAGCGGGGAATTAATACTTTTAAAGCCTAAAAATTCTAAAAAAACCATGTCAAAAAATTAGAATAAAAAAAAATAGTACAGTATCAATAAAAAAAATTAAAATTGAAAAATAATAAGGCCCTAAACGTCATACTCTTTTTCATATATATCAAATCAATTTTTTAATTTTACAATAGATTTTTGTATCGGAACAATGCTTCATCCTACCCATAGTTTTAAAAAAAAATTTTATTCACATCGCATGCAAATATTAATTTTTTTAAAAATTTTTATTCATATCGTCACAAATACCAAATTTTTTAAATATTAATTTTTTGTAACTTTTATTCATTCATATCGTCACAAATACCAAATTTTTTTAAAATTTTTTTATTGACATCGCATACAAATATAAGTTATTTTTAATTTTTATTCATATCATCACAAATACCAAATTTTTTAAATATTAATTTTTTGTAACTTTTATTCATTCATATTCACAAATACCAAATTTTTTAAAATATTTTTTTTTACATCGCATATAAATATAATATTATATTTAATTGATTATTCATACATAATTTCTATTTTCTTAAATATTTTTTAAAATATATGAGGAAATGATGATATATATAGATGAAAATACTAGGGATATCTGATCCTCGTTTAATTATATTTATTTTTCGCTTTTGTTTTTGGTATAATTATTGTATCAAATGTCTTTTATCGACATTAATTTAATAAAATTATATTTTATTTTTTAGATTAATATAATATTATATAATAGATAAAAAATAAAATATTTATTAAGATAAAGAATTTTCTATTGATAACGCCAGTAAAGCAGTATTTCGGTTTCAAATCGGTTATCGGTCAAATCACGATATTTTTTAAATATTTTTTGGGATAATGATTTGCACGTATTTATAGATAAATTAATCAAAAATGAATATTTTCCAAAAAATATTACTACCAAATTTGGTAGATCGAATATTTAGTAAGTGGTCTGTTTTGAGCTCGCCATTCGGTCAAATCATAATATTTTCGAAAAATTAATTAGGATAATGCTTAACACGTTATTGTTCACGTATAAACCAAAAAAGGAGAATTTTCGATGTATAATGCCAGCAAGGCAGTATTTAGCGATAAAGGTTTCGCTGAATTGACCTGATACGATTTAATAGCGGCATAAAAGGGTAGTCAAATAGACTTGTGGTGTGCTTAACATTTGCGGAAATAGGAATAAATTAATGATTATTTCTTAATAATGATATTGGCAAAGTATATTTTTTTAAAGAGGAAATGACAAACTAGACATTTTTGCAAGATAATTTAAAAAATCAAATACTGTAGAACAAAATTATCATTTATAAAATTAAAAATAGTTGTTTTTTAGATATTAAACATTTATATTATCAATTTAGTGAATTAAAATTAATTTTTTAAAATTTTTCATATAGGATATGCCCCCCACTCCTCCCCATGCCTACTACACTGAATTTAAACCATTCGGTGATTACCTCATTAAATATTATGCTAAAATTATTTATAATATTTCAACAAAAAATTTTTTTTATAATAATTGTTTATCTTTGGTTATTACTTTTAAAAAAATCTTTCTTGGATTTTCATGTATACATAAAAAAAATTTCCAAGTTTTCGTTCAACATAAAATCGGGAAAAATTGAATAAATAAGCCTAAAATGATATTTAATTGCATTATTTATTACTTTGACACCTTGAGATTCTGGGATTTTCAATTATATTTTAAAAAAGTAGATTGTTAAAATGATTATTAATTAACGTTATATTTTATCGCCATTGGTAAAAAATATATGTAGACAACTTTTGATATTATTTTATTAACTGAATTAATTTATATAGTATACGA